ACAACCACGTTTGTAATGCTGCAATTAATCACATGGTGTATGAAAGAAGCCTTGTGCCACAAGGCGTCATTCGTACTATTTCATTCATCTCATTCGTCATAGATTGATTTTTCTAGTTAACCAATCAATTCTACATCGAACTAATCAACGGAACATAGTTCGTTGTTTTTCATTTATGTTAGTAGTTACCATATAAATGAAACATCATCTATGATAATCTCATTCCAATTCCATATCTCATCCAAACTAGTATACTGGACCAAGAACTTCAGGTCTCGGGAGTAATCCAAATTTAATCTCATGAGATGGAAATGATTGAGACATCGATCAAGGGACGGATTCGTTCATGCCATGTTCCTCCAATTTTGGGGAAATGAATCCTCGAACTGAGTGATCTACCACGCTTCTGGTGTAGGACAAATTGATTGGCTAGCCACTAGTGTACAAGGGCCAGCCACAGTAATGGCATTCTTAATTTCGAAATGAAGATCCGTGTACATTTGGTACACATCTTTGTAGGCACATTTGCAGCTGGTATATGTGATCTCGTCACTTTTTACTAGATCAGAGGAAGTGTCTAGTTATACTCTGACTATCTAGATTGGGATTGAGATGAGACATAGTAGAGATGTCCATGATAATTCGCGTCGTTCTGTAGGAATGTTGATGTTCTTATCTCTCCCTAACAGCAGGAAAACTGTCTCATAAAAGTGACAATTCGCAAAACGAGTCGTAAAGAGATCGTTTGTCAAAAGGTTCTAAGTAACGAATATTAGAAGGAGAATCATAACCGACATAGCACAACCAAAGACGCACAGATGTGATATGTCGGGTTCGTATATGGTAACCAACTGACACACGCTTTATAAGGTTGGGTTGTGACCGACCTCAGGCGGACCAACATGGTTGCTTGCCATATTGCATGGCCCTAAGCAGGGATCGGAGAACTTGGTATGTATGACCAATTATCGTGCAATCATTTGAAGGCGTTTATTGAATGCTTTTGCTGGGTCGTTTTGGGTATAAACATGGGGTACTTGATGTTCAACTTCAAAAAGCCAACCGACATGCAATATCCATTGAAAGTTTTCGATCTAAATTTTCCAACTTATCCAATCAAATAGGTTTGATCAGATGATTAGGGTGGTGAAGCCTGAGCTTGTTAATCTAAGCCACTAGTGTGGAGAATGCAGCTTGTGGACAATAGCCACATGTGTGACCAACGTGTAAAAGCATCAACCAGTACTATAAAGTATCTAAATAGTCTGCAGGGTGGTTCAATCAGTCCATAAATGTCCCCTTGAATCCTTTGTAGAAAAGTTGGAGGATGCTAAGGCATGTTACGCTTCCAGGTATGATGTCTTTACTTCTGGTAAGAGGATGCCTAAAACAGTGGATCACAAATCATCCTAGATATCCCAAACGTACATCCACAGCGAAAATTCCTTTGAATTTCTGGCGGGCCACACAGTGGCCCTAAATGAGTGTAATCCACTCGTCAAGTGTTTCATCATGTCTAGAATACGCTACTGGCTATATTCGCAGGAAGTGCAATATGGTAATATGAGAAGGAATTTTACTCCATTTTCTACATCGGTTTCAATATGGTAATAATGCTCTCGAATATCCTTAAAGCTCAAAAGGCGTTCTTTCGGAACGAGTGAGTATAAGGTTTCCCTTTATGGTAAAATTAGTACCATTGGACAGTATAGGACAGTGCCATGCCCCACAATTAGGTTGGATAAGCTTGAAAGGTTGTCAAGGGATGGTTAGGTATGAAGTTAGCATAGAACCAGACTGTTAAATTTCCCACAAAACATACCTAAGCATGAGTTAATTGTATTAGTCACATGGTAATTTTTGTTAATTAACTTTTATTCGAGAACAATAGTGACATCCAAACACCAATCTTAAATCCGAGAATAAAATAAATTGTTCACAAAGTAAACAAATATATAAGAGGGTTCGGCAAATACAGCCTTCCATGTCAAATTTCGCTCGCCAAATGTGTTAGGTGGAGCAAAATTAGTTCACAGATTGACTACAGGAATGGTACTCCTCAACAACATTGGTAAAAACATGGAAAAATGCATAACCAATGATCTATTATGTCAAAACAGAGTTAGATTCTGCAAGGTTGAGGTTCGGGAATACTATTTTGTATTCTTGAAGTTTTTAGGTTTTAGGTGCCAAGGATTACGCTTCGGGCATGATACCACCTCTTAGTAGGCCCAGATTCTACCATAGGTTGTAAAACAAACTCGAAATTATTGTATGAGAGAGATAGAGAGACAAACCCAGACTTGGGTTCAGTAGGATCCAATTGAAACTAGAGGGGTCAATTCGGTAGCCTTTGCTGAAGCAGAGCAATAACGTCTGGTACACCTCTGCTGAAGCAGAGCATGCAAGTCGATGCATCCCTGCCGAACCAAGGCACCACCATTCGATAGACTTCATCCGAAACTGGGTCTATACCGTTTGGTATCTCCCAGTCGAATTGTTGGGGTACCTTTCTCTCACAGATGTGGTAGTAATCAGATCCGAGAATTTGGTAAACTTTCGCTCTGTATATTGCTATTTTAGGAGCAATTTAGATATAGAAGGACGAGAAAAATTTTCTTCCAGTCAAAAATTCAATCGGATATAAACTTCAAAATTGTACCTATTCATGGACGTAAAGAATTCAATCATGTTTTACTTATGGCAATAATTTATCTTTGCATGATTTGAAACAGTCCATGGCGAGTCAAAAAGCCATAGAGTCTTCAACAGTGAGGTACTTCCATTTGATATGCTTCAGGCATAAGTCTTCAAATAAAGATCAGGGCGGAGGCTTATTCAGCTCTTCCACACCATAACTGGCTACAATGATTTCACAACTAATCATAATCAAGCAGGGTGTCACGTCTTGAATCCACATAAAGTAGTTTCTTGTTCGAAACTTCGAAATCAGTGAAATCGAACTTGTTAAGGTTCAACAAAACACTGAATGGTGGAAACAAGAATGTTATTGGTGTTTTAGGAAATAAAATTTTCATAAACAACAAAGTTAGAACATGCAGGTTCTAAGACATGGTTTGATTTAAACGAATTTAAGCATGGAGAACTTCGCTCTCAACATGAGTGTTGCGCGTTAACAAATTTCAGGTCTCTATGGCACTTTTCGAAACTTCGGGTTTGGGAGTATGAACTTCAAGTTTATAATACATGCAAACAAACGCAATATATACAAGACAAAAATATATAGCAATTGAAAAATGCATGTAAGCAAGAATATATAGTGATTTGATTAATTATTGGTCTTTGGGCCAATGGAAAGAATTGGGCGAAAAATATAAAGCTAATAGTGCCTAAAAAACAAATTTAGGTGATTAAATTTGGTGGCCCAAAATGGACCAAAGTCCACGGAAGCATAAAAAATATGTGCCTTGAGACCCATGCCAAAGCCAATGAGGAAGGCAGTAGGCTTTCCTAGCATTGCTGGGTTGCAGCAAACAGGCTCAAGGCATGGGGAAAACAGAAGGCCCAAAAACAGGGGTGGAGATCCTGTGTGATACAACGTAGGATAAACCGGAGGGCCTACCTAGGGGTGCAATCCAGTGCGGTGCGTCACATAGGAGCACCACACACGTGGGCCGAGCAAAGCAGTTGCACTGGGCAGCTGCAAGCGAGCCTAGGAAGAAAAAAAACTTGTTTGCTACAGGCCGAGTTACCAAGGCCCAATTAGGGCACGGGTGGACCAAGGAAACATCATAACCGTTGTTGGGTGTGCTCGCTGGAGAAGAAAGTCGGCCCCGCCACTTCAGGCGACCATGTTTTTGGTTGGGAAAACTTAGGGCGAGTTCAATGCATGGTGGTTTATCCAAGAACCAGTCATAACGATGGAGAAAGGTCATCGACATCGGGGATGTGTGGAACCCAAGGGATTCGATTCAGGAATCTTTGATTTCAATGAATTTCAACGGAAATTCAAAGAACATCATTGCAGTCGATGTGAAAACCCAAACTAACACGACTACAGGTCGTGATGTTCAAAAAGAACGGCAAAGCCATAGTCTCAGCTTCTGGCGAGGGTAGGTTTTCTGGGTTGGGGATGACATGCACCAAAACGGCGTCGTGTTCTCGGGTTCTCAGCACAGCAGAGCTATGCTCTGGTGCATTGCAGTTCTGTGTCTCTTTATGGTAGTGCGACTCAAAACCTGCAGCTCGTTGGGTTGGGTTCTCGAAACCCTAGTTAATTTTTTTTTTCAATTATATGCATGTATAATTCAATTCATGCATATTCAATATAATTCAATAAGATTATGATTCTAATGCATACACAATTTATGTAGAATCTAAAATTCGAAAAACGTAAAGTTTGGTCATGCATTATGGTTAGGGCTGCAAAAATATCAAGATAAAAATCGTTGTTCTGGAAAAACCTGATTGCATGATGACATTGATGAACTGGTTTGATGCAAAAAATTATTTCTTTAATTTCAGCTTTCCATCTCCAAAGCTTGTATCACGTTCAACATAAGAAAAATAAATTGAATCAATAAAAGTAAATGAATTCAAGAAAATCAAAATTTAATCAATTAAAATAATTGAATAGTAATATTCCTCTAATTGAAGGCGAATAAATTCTCTTTAGCATTGCGTGAAGAGTGTACTGATAACGTGTTGTGACCTATATTTAGGTGTGGCATGGAGAGAAAGAGAGTGAAGAATGGACTTGGAGAATCGTGTATTAATTTACTAGTGCTTGTACCTTTATTTATAGTAATAAAAAGGAAAAAAACTTACGCTCTAAGTAATACAAAGTTTCTCTTCTAGATATCAAATGATTCCTAATATGCCTTTATTTAATCATTCTCAATATTTGATCGTCGAATTAAATAAATTAGAGAAGATCAATAGAAAAAAATTAACGAGTTAAAATGTGTGAACACTCTTGCCCCAAAAAACTGTCGGTAACACTGTTTTTTGGTGTAAATTAAAGAGAGATTGATTAAATGTGCGATAATATTACTGGAGTTGGCCTTCCCCAACTTCCAGGCTTCCGGCTCCCAAATCTGGATCCACCATCTCCCGCCATCCCATTGCCTGCGACACACACAGCATTCTGCCACCACTCCGCCACCTGAGTGCCCCTAAAAATGGGAACGACGACGCTGGCGCCGGGACTGTCCCGGAAGCTGAAGAAGGTCTTGGAGTGTCGCACCGACTCCCCCGATGTGCTGGCCTCACTCAACACCCTCTCTTCTTTCTATTCCGAAAATACCCCTCAGTCGCGGCGGAACCTCCGATCCACCATCGAGAAGCGAGGCCTCGCCACCAACCTCGAGTTCCTCGAGGCCTCCCTGGCAGCCCAAGAGGCCTTGGATCGCGTGGAGGACGAGGTCAGTGCCTTGGCCACTAGCTGCGACAAGATCGCCGTCGCTCTCAGCAGCTGCACCGCCACTACTGGTGACATTATCGCCACCACCGAAAGGCTCAAGCAGGAGCTCAACGTTACCACCCAGAGGCAGCAGATCGTCTCTTGCTTCCTCCGCGATTACCAGCTCTCTAATCAAGAGGTATCCATCAAACCATTTGCGTTTATAAGTTCTGAGATTTGATTCAATTGATTGATTTGGGTTTTTGTTGCATGATTTGCATCAATTGATTTAGTTGTTGATTTGGGTTTTGGTGTTGATTTGTGTTGAGATTTGAATCAGTTGGTTGATTTGTTGATTTGGGTTTGTTAGATAAGTGCATTGAGGGATGAAGAACTGAATGAAAACTTCTTCAAGGCGCTTAATCATGTTCAAGAAATTCATGCCAACTGTAAATTGCTCTTGAGGACTCATCACCAGGTACTCTCTACTCTTATTGAAAAAATTTCGGGAGCCAGGAGACATGAAAGGTGATACTTACTCAATTACAATTCACTTGCAGCGTGCCGGTCTGGAGCTCATGGATATGATGGCTGTCTACCAAGAGGGAGCGTACGAGCGCCTGTGCAGGTTTTTATTTTCTTATCATCTTCCTTAATATGCATATGTACGAGGTCAATTTCTCTTCTCGAATGGTCTAACATGTTATCTTGGAAGACTGTCAATCTAGACCACTAATTAGGTGAATTCTTGTTTACATACGTGGCCAAGATTACAGTATGGCAATGTAGCATTCTTTGATACGGCAAGAGAACTGAGAACATTACCTATATGTATAATTGTTTCAAAATTTTGAGACTACCATTCTGCTGGGATAGATGAGATATGAGATATGAGTCTTTAATTATTCCTGTGTTTTAGGTGGGTTCAGGCGGAATGTAGAAGACTTGGTGACTCTGATAATCCTCAAGTTGATGATCTTTTGAAAACAGCAGTTCGTTGCCTCAAGGAAAGGCCTGTGCTTTTTAAGTATTGTGCAGAAGAGGTGATTCTCTGTGCTAACCATTTCTCCCTTTTATCTATTACCTTGCTTATTCACTTGTCAGTGAATCTTCTAGGTAGCAAACATGAGGCATAATGCATTGTTTAGACGGTTTATCAGTGCTCTTACACGTGGAGGACCTGGTGGAATGCCTCGACCGATTGAAGTTCATGCTCATGATCCCTTACGATATGTTGGGGACATGCTAGGCTGGTTACATCAGGTGTGAAAACAAAGATCTTGGTTGTGTTGCACTTCCATTTGTGAATTATATTCATCATCTGTCTTTTCTTGCTCCTGTTGCAGGCCTTAGCATCTGAGCGGGAACTTGTCTTTGCGTTACTGGATCCAGATGCTACGGGAGATACTAGTCCAACCAGAAACCAGTTCTCCAAGAGCCCTGAGAGTGATTCTCGAAAGACAGAATCTGATTTGATGTTTGTTATGGATAGAATTTTTGAGGGAGTTTGCCGGCCATTTAAAGTAAGGGTTGAACAAGTTTTGCAGTCCCAGTCCAGTCTCATAATTTCATACAAACTAAGTAATACCCTGGAGTTCTACAGTCACACTGTAAGTGATGCCTTTTCCTATTCATCAATGGAATAAGTTGTTCCACATGTTATCTGGCTTTCTTTTCTTTTTTCCCTAATATATGGCTGTCTATCTACTTGCTACTTGCAGGTATCAGAATTTATTGGGAGAGAAACAGCTTTATCTGATACACTGTGGACACTAAAAGATGCTGCTCAGAAAACTTTCTTTGATATTCTGAAAACCCGAGGGGAAAAGCTTTTGAGGTACCCTCCCCTTGTTTCTGTTGATCTCTCCCCTCCACCAGCAGTAAGGGAAGGAGTCTCACTGTTGCTTGAAATAGTTGAGACTCATAACAGCATGATGCTTCCAACTTTAGGCAAAGATCCTTCTTTTGGTCCAGTCATATCTGCTTTACTCGACCCAATTGTTAAGGTGCGTTGTGCTGGACATTTCGTTATGTGAATGGCATGATTGATAAGCTTGCTTCTGGTTTCATGTTGGTCAAAGCAACATTGACATTAGTCTTTTGGTCCAGTCATATCTGCTTCAAAACTGTCACATTCCCATTAATTAGAACAAACTTACTGAGAACTTCCTTTGAGTGCTTTGCACCTATTGTTGTGAGTTTGTGTAATCCCTCAATCAGATGCTCTCTATATTGGTAGAACCACTCCTGTAAACGATTTAAGTTGGCACACCTGGCCTTGGAAGCCAAAACTTGTTGCAGACTCGCAGTGTGGAGTCATATCTTGAAACATCATACCGAGAAAATTGTTTCGTTGTACCTCTTTTATTAATCATGTTACAAATTTAAAGGGATTCAAAACCATGCTGATGCACTCCAAGTGAAAATTAGTCTCTTTAACTTTTCAGTCAGAAATTGAGATCTGAGATTGATGTTTAATTTATTAAATATGTTGAATTAAGTTTTAATAAAGTTCCTTGCTTCTACCATTGCAGATATGTGAGCAAGCTGCAGAGGCACACAAGTCCAAGGGAGTTGGCCACTCCTCAAGAAGAAGTAAGATGAGTTCTGACTTAGGTCAATTTGGTAAATCACCAGTTGACGCACTATTGTCCAACAGCAATTCTGCCTCGTCGTCTCAGGTTTCTTTTCTCATTAATTTCCTAGCCTCTAATTTCAGATTAATCTCCAGCCAGTCTTAGGATATCGTGGCTTACTGTTAGATTTTGTTGTAATTCTCGTCAGCTCTAGTTTGTATCTGTTCCTGGTGCTAAGTTATGATGAATCCCATATCAATCTATACCCAAAAAGAGTGCTTTTAAAATGGCTGAAAGCACTTATGGTGAAAATGTTTTTGGAACCAATTCTTAATAAAAATGCAAGTGAATACTGGAAAAGCACTTAAAACCCATAAACATTTTTGCTAAAAGCACTTTCAGTCATTTTAAAATTACTTCCAAACTAGCCAAAAGTACAATGATGGGGTCTTATTCTTAGAAATTTCTGTACCTACCCCTTTTCATGCTTGTTTCAAAGATTTTTGTGACGCACTCCAATAGTCTGATCAAGTGCTTTATTCTGTATTTATGCTTCAAGACTGCTGCTTTTTTTTTTTTTTTTTTTTTTTGTGTCGAAGCTTTAAGGCTAAAACTAGATTTCTGAGATTATCATGCTCTGCTACAAAGCCGAAAATTCTGGTACCAAAGATATTATTATACTTTCCTCTGGATTTTAGAATCTTAGATATAATAAAAGGACCTTGGTACTAGAACCCTATCTGCAAATATTAGATTATCAAAAACCAGCCATGACACGGGAAATTGGTGTATTTTTTGAAAATAAAAGGTCCCTGTATTTAATGATATATAAATTGGATCGTGAGTCACTTGTGCATAATCTTCCTCACTGCTTTCGTCCTAATACCTGTTTAATGGATTGGTGCAGTCTAGTGAAACATCCTCTAAGATTTTCCTCATCAATTGTTTGTGTGCCATCCAACAACCATTGCTTGGGCATGAGGTCGCAGTGGAATACGTGAAGAACCTCGGGACGATGATAGATAAGCACATGCAAGCCCTTGTAGAAAATGAAGTCGATACGATCCTTAAAAGATGCGGATTGTCGCAGAAGATGACTTATTTCCGTGACTCACTCAGCAGGGAGACTGGCACTACACCGTTGGTAGAGATAGAGGACACTTCTCCAGCATCTCTTTCCGAGTGTTTGAAGGCTTTCTTTGGGCTTGTCTTGGGAAGTGAAAGTTCCCTGCCTGAATTTGAGCAGATGCAGGTTCCGAAGTTGCGTTCTGAAGCTTGTATCCAAGTGGCTAAATCATTGGCCGAAGCATATGACCTTACGTACGAGGCAATTATGGATCCTAAAAATGGCTACTCAGATCCTAAGTCACTGGCGAGGCATCCTCCAGACCAGATAAGGACCATTTTAGGAATATGAAGCACTGATTTTTCTTCTCCCCCTTACATTTGTGTTACTCTCAGATTTTCTCATTCTCTATTGAACAGATTGTTGAAAACTCGTATCTCCGTCGAACAAGTTTTGTTGGATATGCGATTGTGAAATGTTAATATTATTTAGCAGAAGAAGAATTATATGCAAGTAAATTAATCACTGTAATGGAATAAACAAGTTGTTCAGTTGAATTTCTCTGACGCCGAATGACTGATGCGTGGAATCGTGAACAATTGTGCTCATTTGGACTAATTGATGTGTGGATGACAAACTCCAGCGGCAATGGAGAAAACCCTGCGTGCAATGTCATTGTTAAAACGGGGGAACAAATTTTCCGTTTTCTGCTAACGCATTGATACGAATGTAAAGTTTTCTTATACAACTTCGTTAAGGCTCGGAATTTTGGGTTTAGCTTTCCAACGGTCTTGAGTTTTACTGAAACCACAGAAGCCGCAGCAGAGCGAAGCGGCAAGGGTTCCTTGTGTTTTATCCCTTTCTCGTGTGTGCGTTCAATGTGTGGTTAGTCAGTCGGGGCGACGGGCTAGGACCCAGCGCTAGACGGCCAAGTAGACCAGACGGATTTAAGTAAATTTATTAGATATTGTATAAATAACTGCATATTTATACTTAGAAAAAAATACATAATTGTATTGTGATACATAAATTGCAAAATAAAATAACTTATAAATTATAACGAATTAGGATACAGACTGAGTATTAAAACATAATGAGCGTTCATTCAAGTATTTAACAAGTCTCTTGCATTTTCTTGAAAAAATAAAACGCAAAATGAAACTTATCAATTTTTTGTACAAGTGGGAGTCACGACCTAGGCAGGTCTAAACGGGCTAGACGGGCGCTTGGACAAGTTAGGCAGACATCTAATTCGGTCTAGGCGCGCCTTTTTAATTTTTAAACGCCTAAAAATTAATCGGGATGGTCGCCAACCGCCTAGGCGATAATTTTTAGAACAGTGCTTACACCATTCACCAAAGCTTGCTAAATTTGTTCCTCACTTCTGCATTTACAGCAACGAATTGGCAGATCTACTGATCAACATCCGCATCCCGGGAACTTGAGCGACAACTGGCATGATTCTGCAAACACCTTTTTTCATAGAGAAGCAGGTTGGTTTCACCAGACATCATTTGTTGAGATTAAATCCAACTAGTGTCACTCGGTTGCACCAAGTCCCTTGGCTGAGATTAAAGAGGGATATTGTTAGCTCAACGTATAGCTACCAAAACTCCTTGAGAAAACATGATCATCCACCAGTAACGTGAATTTAAGAGTATTTAGCAAAGAAATAAACGAAAGAACAGGATTTAGTTGACGATATATGCCATAATAAGCATTAAAATACAAACTGATATGTGCAACAAGCATTATCAGTTTGCACTTATTACAGAGGAACCTGCAAGAGGTTCAAAGAAAAATTTTCAGATGCCGATAAATCGCATATGGTTCTTTACAAATACCGGCAAAACAACAATGACAAAGAAAGCATGATAATCATTCCAGGTTAGTTATTACGAAAGGAGTATGGAAAATGTAAATAAAATTTGAAACTTAGTTTGAAGGCCGAGCAGAATAGGTAGCCCATAATTCAGGGAAGTAAAAGAACACCACACATTCCGGTCAAAAGTTCATAAAAAAACGGATGAGAGTTTAACCTAATACTCACGCATCTGAACTAGTAAATTACCTGAAACACAAACATCCGTCAAGTTTTTCCCAATGTATCATTCAACGGCAAGGGCAGCATCGGGTTGAATGCCATATTGTGCAGCATGTTTCTGTAACTAACCAATAAATTCAAACACACAAAAGAAAAACAAACAAAGAATTGAAACAATGTAGAGGGCTACCTTTTCATCTTAATGACGCCACACAAAGTTTAACCGGTGCAAAACCATTATGTATTACTATCGCTTTCAATTTTCATGCTTCAAGTTCCACCAGCTGAAACCGTTTAGCTTGTCAGTATTCTGTTGCAAGCTAAAACTTATACTTTAGGGCATAATCATCCAATGAAGTATTCTTTATATACTGTCTATGTTATGTATATACACATCCATATATGTAAGAATGTGCGTACGTATAAATACACGTTCACATATATGCGAGCGCAAACACACACAGAGATTGCATAAGCCCAAAAAAGAAGAAATATTAACAGCAAATCAAAACAGTATCAAAACCAATATATTAAAGCATAGTCTGTAGTTAATTTATAACTTTTAATCAATATGTTTGCTTGTCTGCGAGACTGATAAAAAAACCAACGGAAGTCCAAAAGTTTTCAGATACCATCGTGAAAAAGTGAATGTATAAGATCATTCATATTATCAATTGGATATATTCAAAGAAAGATTGCTCAGAAACAATACATATATGCCTTTCCAAAACTAAAAAATTAAATAGCATAACACAATGAAATGAATAAACAGAGCCCATATACATAAAACACATAATCAACAATTATTTAACTTGAAAGAGTAGGCAAACTTTCAAAGAACGAAAAAATATACCTGCAACTGCATGCATGGCACCTGTTCCCTCAATGAAGGGGAAGAAGGTTCCAACATCACTTTAGCCGGATTTTTCTATTATACTAACTGGCCCTGCCAAAATTAGAAACCATCTCCTTTGCTAATTGACTAGCCTTTTGTATCTCCCCACATGAACAGAGCGTCGCAACTTGCTTATAGCAATCGTCAAAATCTTTAAACTGAGACCATCTCCCTCCACCGCCATAATTTTCCGCCACCTTCTCTACTTTCTTCATATCAGAAAGCTGAATATCCAAATCTGCACCGGTGGAGGTTACAGAATTTGAAACAACTATACCAGAAGGCTCCCTGTCATAAGGCTTGTCTAATTTAAGAAATTGTTGGTGAGTATTAGGTGAACCTCTAACAGGGAAAAACATGCACCCAATTTCATTAAGGACAGTAAGTGATTCTTCAATACGGCCTTGCTCACATAAAGACGCAAGAAAACCTTCTAATGAATCTGTTTCGACCTCAACATCAACTCTATTTATTAGCTCCAAAACAGACTGGGAGTTGAGCATTTCTCTCAAGATGGTTCTGGCTTCTTCCATCCTTCCCTTAGCGCATAGACCTCTTAGTAAATATAAGAAACCCAAAAAATCAGGTAATGTACCTTTTTCCTTGAGGTCAACAAAGAATTCAAGAGCTCCTTCTATATCACCCTTTAGACAAAAGCCATTGATTATAATACTAACAGTGAATTCATCAGGCCTGAGGGATTTTAAGTCCAATTCATAAAGAAGCTTCAAGGCATCATCCATATCTCCAATTTTGCAATAACCATCAATAATCGAGTTGTAAACATGTGTATTTGGCTTAAAGCCCTTGAGAACCATCCTCTCAAATAACTCCTTGGCATCCAGAAGAAACCCCTCTCTACGTAAGGCATCAATCAATGTAGCATATGTGATTTCCGTGGGTACCAAATTAATTCTCTCTAATGAATCAAATAGCCGAAATGCTTCAACAAGGTGGCCTTGGCGGCATAATGCATTTATAACTGAATTATAAGTGATGATATCAAGTGCCACTCCTTTATTTTTAGCAATACTACACAGATCTAATGCCTCACTGATATGTCCTCCTTTACAAAGACTATCAACCATAAGCGAATAATCAAATGCATCCAGGATAGGTAGACCATCTCCGGCCACCATGACAAGTTTATATGCATCCAAAACCCTACCAGTCTTTATAAGTGTCTTATAAAGACTAACAGGCAAAGTGACAGCTGCAGGCTTATCCTTCATTTTGTCTAGAAACCAGAAAGCATCATCAACATTCTTCAGACTTATGTAGTAAGCTAGAATCTTGCTTACCGTGGGTTCTTCTATGCCATATTCTTTCACAAAGATGGTCAAGAAAGATTGAGTTAGCCACTCTTTCCCATCATGGATAAGACCTTCTAAAATTGAACAGTAAGTTTTGCTTGTGGCAACTGACCCTTTCCTCCTCATCGCCAAGTACACCTCGCATGCAGACTCAGGAAAACCTCTCCTGCACAAGAAGCTGATGGCATCATTGCAAACAATATCATACACTTCTGTCTTCAAACTATCAATCCGTCGAACCAAATTTATAACTCCAACTGCACTATTGTCTTCAAAAATTGCCTTCAACAGAATATTATAGATACCTACATCGAAACCTAAACCTTTCCCACTGAGTTCAATAAATACCTCTGTGGCCATATCTACCATTCCCTGCTTACAGAGCGAACTGATAATACAATTATAACATGCAACGGAGGAACCTAGTGTCCTTCTGAACTCATCAAATACCTCAAGTGCCTCATCCATTCTACCAACTTTACAGTACCCATCAATCATTGTACAATATGTACTGGAATCTGCAACCAAACCCTTCTCTGGCATTCCCTTGTATAGTATATAAGCATCGTCAAATGCCCCCACCATGAACAGTGCTTTGATAAGTACGTTACACATAACAACATCCATGTAGACTCCGGCTTCCTCCAATCTCCTCTTCGTTTCAAGAATCCCCGTGATATTTTCTTCCTCAATATATCCATGTAGCAGCGTACTATATGTAATTGTATCTCCAAGTATACCCTTTGAGATCTCATCAGCCTCGCATGTCCTCCCAAATTTGCATAATCCATTAATTACAGTATTGTATGTGACAATGCTTGGATTAATCCCCCTCTCCTCCATTTTATGTAGCAAATCAAAAACATCATCGAGATCTCCTCTCATGCAAGACCCGTGAATTAAAGTTGCATACATGAATTCATCAACTACAATTCCCAAATCTTCAACCATCTTGAAAATAGCAAATGCCTCCTCCATTTTCCCTTTCTTGCAAAACCCCAACAGGATGGCAGTATACGTGATCAAATTGGGTTCTAATCCATCTTTCCTCATCTTTATTACAATACCAAGCGCTTTTTCCACATCTCCTAGCTTGGAAAACCCATCTATCATAATACTATGGCTAATTATATCAGGTCTTATGCCTTTGTCCACCATCTTTCTATTCTTCTGAAATACCTCCATTAAGACCCCTTCCGAAATATAACCACAAATCCAACTACTGAAGAAAACAACATCAAATGCCCAACCTCTCTTCTCAACCCTACAAACCAAATCACAAACCTCATTAACTCTACCCAATTTACAAAGAGCACCTGCAAGTGCTGTATAAGTCACAACATTAGGCTCTAAAGCTCCCGAATCCACAGCATTCTTGAAAAACTTGACTGCGATTTCCGGCTTCCCAATCTTACAAAACCCGGAAATTACTGAACTAGAAACAAAATTATCAAAAGGGTACTTAACTTTCTCATCAGTCATCAACTCCAGCACCTCAATTGCCTTGCTCATATCCCCCTGATTGCTAAACGAACGAATTAACGAGCAAAAAGTGAAAGAAGAAGGAAAAATACCGTAGCTCCCCAAGCAATCCCGCAACACCAACAAAGCCTTCTCGGGGTCTTTCCGGTTGACACATAGGCCTTGAATCAGAGAGTCCCACATCCGATTCCGCCGCAAACTCGAAGCTTGGACCATCCGGGTCCTCATAAAATGCTCTGCTTCTTCATATTTCTGCAAATTTAGGAGAGCGCAGGTGAGAATTGCGTGCGTTTGGGCGCTGCCTTTGATTTGGTTGGACTCCATTTGGGAGAAGAAGTGGACGAGGGTGTCGAACCGGCGGGTTCGAGAGAGGAAGAGAAGGAATTGGACGATGGATTTGAGAGTGGGAGAGAAGCCGCTTTTGAGCAGAGTTTGAAGAGGTGGTGGTTCTGGGAGGTTGGTTCGGCAAGGAGATGAAGAAGAAGAGAAGGATCGGACTAGTTTGGTGTGGAAGATTGAGGAGAAGAAGATTATCATTATTTGGGAATTTCTTGAATTTGTTTGCTGCTGCTGCTGCTTCCCCTCGAAGCGTTGAGCGGGGGAGTTGAGTTCGAAAGCTAACCAAACATGCGAAAAATTGTTCCATGGTGCTGTGCGGTGACGCTAATGAGCCTATGAGCATTGGATTGCCTCGTTAGTCGTTAGGGTGGGCATAATCCGTGAAACCGAATTAAACCGTGACAAAATAAATTGTAAAAAATATGTTGATTAAAAAAAGTTAATATAGGTTTAAGAAACGAATTGAATCGTTTTGACCGGTTTTGGTTTTGGTTTTTAGGTTGGAAGAACCGTTCAGAACCGTTTATATAAATAATCAATTAAAATTAACAGTTGTATGATTAAAAAGATGTTATTTATATATGAATTTATATGTACTTGTTGTGTCTTCATATCGCGTGTCGCAGTATTCGTGTCCACCAGTGCAACTTAGGGTTCCACAACCAAGGAGTACCCAAATTTTCAAAATTGGGCCTAATCTCAACTTGGACCAGTGGACTGTCTCTTCAAAGTCAGCATTTCATCCCTCCACTCATTCCCACTTTTTCTCAGCTCCCAAGCCACCCGTACAAATAGAAAAAGTTCCTCAGAAAATATGACTAACACCAGCTCCATTCTTTCCCCAAATCCGTTAATTCGGTTGAAAATCCAAATCCCACCCAAATTTCGCGCCAGAAAGTTCCCCACAAATTTCTTACCAGTCTCCGCTCGTCTCGACGATTCCAAAAGCACCTCCACGGACCCCCAACTCAACCTCTCCGTGCTCCGCTTCACACTCGGTAACTCTCTCGCTCTCTTTCTCTCTCTTTCTCTGGACTGAGATTTCGATTGTGATGGATTGATGGGTTTTGGGTAGGAATACCTGGGCTGGACGAATCCTACTTACCAAGATGGATTGGATATGGGTTCGGTTCGCTTTTGATTTTGAACCATTTTGTTGGTTCCACTGCAACCCCAGCACAGCTTGTAAGAGAATGAAACGGTTTTTCTTGTGTTGGAAATGTTTCAGTTTGTGTTGGATTTTATTTTAATTTTTGTGGGTTTGTGTGTTTTTTGTTGGGTTTTCGGATAGAGGACGGAGGCTTTGGGTCTGTCTTTGGCTGCATTCTCTGTCGCACTTCCCTATCTTGGAAAATTTCTCAAGGTATACATTTCAAGGCACTTATATATTCCATTTAATTAGATTACAATTAACATTGGTGCTAAATTCATGACCCGATTGATGGTGAAATTCGATGGATAAGCGCTTCTACGGTGCAAAAGATATGAACTGCTAAGAACCCTTAGTTCCATTTTGCTTTTGAAGATGATACAGCATTTGTGTTTTCCACCGGCATAACCGGATAAGAGAATAGCATTTCTTTATGTGAGTTAGAATAGTTACAACCTATACCATTCAACACTGAGAGTTCAATCGTAACCCAGTTCCCATAGAGAAACAGGCGATGACTGTGTTTTTCTAATAAAAATTTACGAATATGCGAGTAGCTTGTTGTGTGCACTGCCTACTCAGCCTTTTCGTAAGCCTGATTATGTGGAGTTATATTGCAGGGTGCTACTCCGATGGATCAGACGACCATCCCACAAGGGTGTGAGCAAATATTTGTTATATCACAAAATGTCTCAGATACTCAGAAGGAGGACTTGGCTTGGGCTACATACATATTGTTGCGCAATACAAACACCATAGCAGTGGTACACAACAGGTTTTTATTACATTTGAAACTTCACAGTAAAAAAATTTACCTGGCAGATAGATGGAGAGACAAAATCAATATTATTTTGGATGACTATGTAAAACATTCTGTTGTGTTGCTAGAGAGTGATAAGTAACTGAACAAATAAATTATGTGCTTATGTTTGCAAATGTTTTGTATAAGCTCTTCAGATGTAGTTGTTCCTAATATTTCAGATGGTATCCGTACAAAATGAATTGTGCGTACGCGGCTATTGGAACATACCAGATGAGGTTTCAAAAGCCAACGTACTTGGATGGCTTGAGAAACAGATTGAAAGTATTGGCATTTCTGATTTGAAGGAGACCCTGTACCTATCTCAGATTGAAGGTAGCTATAACTTGTGCATTATTTAATCAGCGCTGTTTCTGAAAATGACTGTCTTTTCTTGGAATAGTATTGAAACCTTGATTCATGTTTCAGATTCTGGACTTTGGGAGATGCTACCGCAGGGAACTCGTTCTCTCCTTGTACAACCGATTCTCCAAGTTGAGCATTCAATTGACAATGTGATCCAGAGAGTTGAGGGATTTGTCTTGTTGGCTTCCACCATGAGGTATGCATATAGTGATAAGGACAGAGCCTGGATTGGTGCTCTTACAAACAAGTTCAGAGGTAAGCAATAAAGATAGAGCCTTGATAGGAGCATTCCCGTAAAGAAAAAAAAACCCCGGAACATATGTGCAGCCTTGTATAGCATGTGAATTACACTGCAGCAATTATTATTTTAAATGCAGCTTTTTGGTTCCGTTGATCTCTTTTGTGATTCATATAAGATTAGCATGAGAAGAAGTTTTGCTTTTAGTTCCTTTAGTTCTTTTAGCACCAGAATAGGAGGAAATACAGAAAAATGAACACAGTATTATTAAAAGCAATATTAAATTTTAGGATTAAGTACCTAAAACTCCCCAACCTTTTAGTCTCATTCCAGATTGGTTTCAACCTCTTTAAACATTCTAAACAAGTACCTAACCTAGTAAAAATGTCACATCTGTTAAGCCCCAATTAATTTTTCAAACCTAGATTATGTTCAAAATCCACCAATTGGGTTTATCATAGTCAACATTAATTTTAGTTGCCTCAAAATTTGAATTTCAAACATAGATTATGTAATATGGAACCCAATGAACAAACGAGTATTGAATTAAATCGAAAATAGACACAAATTGAAATTATATTAGGAGGGCAATCTCTTAACAAAGAAGAGGGTTAAGAGTTCAGATAACGTTTCATTGAGCTTGTTTGTGCTCGTGATTTCCTCATACGCTGATTCTTGGCTTGTAAAGCTTCCAGTTCTTCTTTGTGGGTGATGAAGTTGGTGGTGGCTGCATCATGACAGTCCATACCATTTCAGCAACCTCCATGACCTTCTTTTCGATGTTGGCGGCTAGAGTTGTAGGGTGGAGTTAGTGGTTTTGTGTTGGGTTTAAAGGTGATGGCATGGTGGGGTGGGGCTGGTGGTGACCGTTTGTTGATGGATGATATGCTTCCATGACCTTCTAGTGAATGATTGGGAAAGGGCAGAGAATTATAGCATATGAATTATGTGAATTTCACACAGAATTAGTAGACAAGAACACATTACTTGCCCACCACTCATCATCAGGGCCGGAGTTATAGGAGGAATTATGAAGGAAAGGTGGTTTTGTATGTGTTTTAGTTAAATTACACTTTTGTATACACAATTGCTAAGAATTTAAGTGATTGAGTTTTGTCCAGAAAACGGGGAACGAAGGCCGAAATGATTATCTCACCCCGCTTCCCTTATGGCCCGGCTTTGGTGGCCTTGAATTGTCACCACCATTGTTCGTTTGTTACTGTAACGCTACTATCGGTGTTCTGGTTGCCGCCACTCATGTTTTCAGATTGAGTTATCAAAATACTGAAACCTATCCGTCATTTCGAAATTTCTTAGTACTAGCATTTACTTCAAACTGTCTGTCTTGCTAAACGAAATATGATATCCAAATTGGTTGGTTACCCCAAATCTTACTTCTTTCTCGAGAACAAATTCACCCGCATCGGTGGCTATCAACCGTTAGTAAAAATGAATCTCACAATTCAACGTCAATGGTTGACAGCCACCGACACGCACAGAAAGACAATATACTTCATGAAGTGGAAGAGTCAAGAGTAGTTTTGGAGCAATGAGTTAGTTTCAACAACATGCTGCCCCATATCTAAAAGGTCAAGAGAATTTCTATGTTTGCTTAACAACTAAAGCAGTAAAGCAAGAATTAATAATGCTCCCACTCATATGACACTCAAATCATTTTCAATCACAAACCTTAAATGGATTTCTTTTGACTATTTCACACAATTAATTACTTTTAGTTTAACTGCAAACCAAACTTCGCATGTGTAACTTTATGGTCTCAAGCCTAGATGAAGGAGGAGGGAAGCGCGTCAAGTAATCAACAGTCGGCACTCCATTCTCACGTCGAATCCCTTATGATAATTAACTCTAAACAAAATTATCCGACCCCACTTAATGGGATAAGACTTTATTGTCGTTGTACTTAAACTAAATCCAAAATGAAATTTTCAGTAAATTTCTTTATCCATTTTTTTATTATCATTTTATAAATATCAAAAATTCTAATATGCTTTGATGTATAACAGATACCGAAATAATGGATGATTGAATGAACGGTCAAAAGATTCGATGGATCCCGAGTTTCATTTGATGTTTGAACCTTGTCTTGGTTGATGATGCAAGTCAACAACACGAGGCCTCTCATATCATGATAAAGACTGTTTATTTTTAAATTATGTAAAATGTAACCTTATGATGCTAATTAACATTTATTTTATTTTCTAAACATGTTTTACTTGGTTGACCTCACCTCCTCGTATTTTATTTTCCAGTCATATCATATTTTCAAGTTGGATTAGAATTTTTCGATTTCGTCATTAAAATTTCGAATCGGAATTCAAATATTTTAAAAACAATTCGACGGAAATTGGAATGTATGCACTTGAGATTCTAAACATTTACAATTTTGATCGGAAATTTTTTTAAAGTGTTCCAAGCTTATTTGATAAAAAAAAAACCTTTGAAATATTGTAATTTTCTAATAGTTATTTACTAAAATTATGTACTTTGTAATTAACTTTTATATTTTTATAATATTGATAACGATAAACATAGTACTACGCTACATATTTTCATTAAATTTGTATAGAAGCATATACAAAATATAGAACAATAAATAACATATATAAAAAGTTTGAGATATAAAAAAATGTGTAAAATATATGAATCTCAAACTCTGTTTCGAAAATTTTGAGATTATTCCGATTCCGAAAATTCTGAATTTAAGACCATGTTATGATCGAATAAAATTGAAAACATTGTTTCCAATTTGATCAAATAAAATTGAAAACCTTGTTTCTGATTCGACCGTCCTGAAAATGAGTTGAATGAAAAGTTGTGGAGTCAGGTTGGTCAAAATTCAAACAAAATACAACGTTTAAATAGTTGATAAACAGTGATTATTTGCGAGTAGTAGTAATATGTGGGATGTTCACTAATGGCGGCAATTCCTGTTTAAGAAAGAAATGGTGGACAATGAGTTTATTTGTTATTATTGTTAGGGTCGTGCAATAAAACTAATACTTTGTTTATGATTTTGGTTAACAAATAAATTATACTATGATGTTCTACATTAAATATAAACAATAATATGCAAGGCGTCATCAAATACGTTATTAATTTTATTAGGCGTCATCAAATACGTTATACCATTCTGTTTTTTTAAGCAAAGATGACTTGGTTTCTCAACTACAAAAGAAAATATTTTTGTACACCTGTTTTTATGTCAAATTCTATTTTGTCTTCACGGACATGTACGGAAATAAAAGCTCAAATTTGAGAGTACAATTCTACCAACTTTTGAAGTAAATGATATTTTGTTTGATAAATTTAAAGGTTGTTTGATATTCTTTTTAAGTTTAGAAAACTGAAAGCTTGTTCGATATTTGTTTTTTGGTATGAAATTAAAGCTAAAATTCGAAAACTCACAAAAGTAGTTTTCAGGTCTGTTTGATAACCATTTAGTTTTTTTTTCCTTCATTTTTAAAAAAATATTGAATACTAAAAACTGAAAGTCAAGGGACCGTTTGATAGTTTTTCTGTTTTCAGTTTTTGTTTCATTTTTTTTAAATCCAAAAACCCATTTGGAAAATACTTTCATTTAAAAAAAAAACTAAAAATTAGAAACTGAAAAATAAAAAATCAAAACTACTTTCTTGAATTTTTAAATTTAAATTTAAATTTTTTAATTTTTAATTTTCACGAAGAAAGTGGGATCCTAATAATTTTCTTTTGTTCAATTTTCTTGAAATTTGATCCATATATTACAAACAAAGAATCTTTTTAAAAATTATAATAACTTTAATCGTTAGATCAAATTTAAAAAGTTCAAATTCATGATTCCTTTCCAATTTTCTGAACTCTTGACTTTCTAATCACGGCAAAAGCTAGGTGGCAGAAGCAAGACACTCATCTCCATTAGAATTTTGTATACAATTTTTTGTCTCACTCATGGGGCCTAGCTTCCATAGTCAATAGGCTGCCAGTGCCCAAGCCCCACGCCCACGAAAGATAATGCCAACACGTAACGTGACTCATCGGATAAAACCAATTTTGTTTGATATTGCTGTATTTTGAAAAAAAAATTATTTTTGCTGTAATGTGAAAATAAATTCATTTTTATTACTTTATATTTTTAACTTTTTTTCATTTAATATTATGAAAATAAGTTATTTTTAAGTATTTACCAAATATTTTTTTAAATTCAATTTTTTTTATACTCACTTTTTATAAAAATACATAAGTACCAATACAAAATCTATCGGTTCAACCCATTTTTATCCAAGGACCAAACCAAAAACTTTTTCCAAAGACCAAGCCGAAAGTGCTTTCCATTCAGTTGACTGCTTTGACTTCTAGTCAATCACTTGTACCCAAATATACTCTTGAGTCTTGACTCGCAAATGTTAAAATTTGCAAATTTATGAAGCAAAATCAAGGCTTAAACGAGTTTGAACCCGATAAGTAGTGGATCGAAGAAGAAAGAGGTAATTATGAAATTACAGTTTATTTTGTTTTTCTAAGCATGGTTCGGTTTTGAAGGGTCAAAATTAAAACCTCTTTGAGTTAAGTTTTTCCGTTTTTAGATTTAACAACTAGAAACCTTATAAAAGTTTTTCAGCATCTCCTTAGCCACCATTCTAAAAATCAAATTGAGAACATGCCGTATGGAAATGAGTCTAGTAAAAAGAACATGTTAACTTATAGGTTTTGTATGGCGTTTCAAATAAAAAAAAAAAAAATCTCATTGTTTATCATTTTAAATTTATTTGGGTATAAAATAGCTATAATATGATATACTTAAAATCCAAAGCCAAAGCCATTAAATCAATTCAAGAATACAATCATATAGTTTAAGTTCTAAAACTATCAACACGTCAATAAATAAGATGAAAGATAAAGTAAACTAATAAAGACAATTGACTAAGCATGATATTTTCTCAGCAGGTCTAGTCTTTGTAACAAGCCTAACCACACAAAGTCTTCCCTTGTTTAAATTCTCATTCGTCATATCTACATATATAAATACAAATACATACATATATATATACAGACACACACACATCATATATATACATGTATATATCTCCCTTAAGATGTGCCCTTCCATTCTTCTCTGCATACAAAACACACCTCAAAAAAAAAGGTGTGCCCTTCCATTCTTCTCTGCATCCAAAACACACCTCAAAAAAAAGAAAAAGAAAAAAAAAGGATGGGTGGTTGCTTTTCTTGCAGACCAAAAGTTGAACTCCAGAATGTGAAGGTGGTGCATCTGAATGGGTATGTGGAGGATTTTGAGCACCCAATCTCGGTAGGGCAAGTGACAGGGAAGCCCACAAAGCACTTTGTATGCACTCCATCTCAGCTCCTCTCAACTGGGTCGAAGCCATTGAAGCATGACACCCTCCTCCAACCAGGGCAGGTCTACTTCCTCCTCCCCTACTCTGCATTGCGGAGTGATGTTTCTCCTCTCGACTTGGCTTCCATAGCCAGAAAGCTCACTTCTGCAGCAGCAAAGAGCAGCAGGAAGCAGTCTTCGTCTGCCCCGCAGTCTCCTGCGGCCTATTCTTCAAGCATGAGCGGCCAGTTTTGCCCAAGCCCTATGTGGAGCTCTTCGTCGTCGCCGGGGAGGAGTCCGGGGAGGAGTCCAGGGAGGAGTCCGGGAAGGTTTGTGGAGCAGGAGAATTTGAGTATGATGGTGGATTATGGCTCTCAGAGATCGTCGCGTCGTTCGTGGAAGCCGCTGTTGGATACGATAACGGAGAGATCGTTGAACAAGATGACTGAGTCTGATTTGCAGGAGAGGCAAGTGGAGGTGGTTGTGAATTAGGTTTTGGTTTTGCAATTTTATCAGTTACACTAGTATATATGTTTTAGTAATTAAAAAAAAAAAAAGAAAAAATATTGGTGGCCATGGATGTAATGAGAAATTTCTTGTGGAACGATGAAGTGAAAAACCTTGTTGATTTTAGGAGTCGTTTGATAACCGTTACGTTTTTGAGTTTTTAATTGTTTTTAAAACCGAAAATTGAAAATTCAAATATGTACACGGCATTTGAAAGCAGGAATTTCTGGTTGTTGTAGTAATTATTATTTTTTTTTTTGTTGGTTTTCTTCTTGCTCAAGAGTAAAAAAGGATATGTTGAAAACACTATTTGAAATATTCATACTTCTTCTGATGCTAATCTAGCATCTGAGCCTTTTCCTTTGCAAGTTTTCTTTGGTTTTTTTTCTTCTTATATTTATAGTAGTGCATAATATGGGTTTATTTGCTTAAGCTTCAAAGTATGTTAAATGCAAGCTCGTTTGATCTTATAAATGCCAAAAACAGCCTAAAGACACTCCAAGTAACAAAATTGTGTACTTAGACAATTGACAATTGACTAAGATTTTGATCTTTTGAGTACTCATCTTATAATTCTAGTAGCATATTATCTATATTTATTTGTTTAAATTCCAAAGCTACTTGGTGCTTTTGACTGAATTCAATTAGATAACTCACTATTTTTCAAAGTATGGTGAAGAAAGAAATAAAAATTTTGTTCTATTCGAAAGTAGAAGATGAATTATTCGTTATGAAAAACTCCTATAAAATAATAGGTTTAGAAGGGAGAAATAATTTGATCTTTGTCAATTATTGAGGTGTACTTTAAAGCTAGCTTTTCCATAGACCAAGTCTCTAATCAAAAGATCCCATCCTTTCATTTTTGATCATGTGGTCAGGAATAAATTTAAGTGTTGAAAAATTCTCACGCAAAACAAAGCAAGATGAAAATGAAAGACTGGGATCTTCTGGTCAGCTGACTCCTCAGGCTGGGATCCGGTGGTGGTCCCAGTCCATCCGGTGGACGGACATGATTTTTCTTGTCATGTTTCTGAATCAAAACAGAACATGCAGGAGACATCCAATGAACGTATCCATTAGCCCCACTGCCATTTAATTCATATGGTAAGTTTGTAACCATTAGCGACTTGAGTGTGACCCTTCTAAAGGACTACCATTTTATCAATTTACACAAATTATAACACCTATTCAAATGTATTTGGAAATGCTTTTAAAATAATTAAAAACATTTTCTTGTACAAATGTTTTTGAAATCAATCTTTAATTAGTAAAAATGCAAGTGTATTTTGAAAAAACAATTGAAGTGCATGCAAGAAGCAAATAACTGGTTATTCTTCAAAAATGCACTTCAAGTGCTTTTAGAACCCAATAACACGTTTACCAAAAACGTTTTCAATCACTTGATAAACACTTCGAAACGAGAAATCTTAGATGGAACAACATCATGATCTCCCAATTCACACAAATTAGAAGATGCCAAGTTTCAAGTTTTATGATGATGGAAAATAGTTACAAGGGTACAGAAATAGGAGCTGGTGGCACCCATTGCTGGATGGGTGCGCAGTCCCACCCACCACCTTCTTTGCTATGAGTGACTCTAAAATGGTTGGGAACCCAAGTTTCACCTTTTGCTTCCCTCTCTCTCAGCAGCTCCCTCTGTTTTTCTTCCACTGCTTTCTTTGCCTCTCTTGCTTTGTTCCAGTCCTTCCCAAGAATTGCTTGGCTCAGCACTCCCCAGATCACAGCTGATTCACTCGGCCAAACCCCCTGATTGTTCCAAATTTAATAAGTAATCCAAAATTTCAATAAATCATTGTTGATAACTCACTAATGGATATATTACACTATTACTCAATTGTCTGACGTGGGAGAATTTTTCAATCCTCACACTTCATCTCGGGCGTGACCACATTTGAAGGCAAACATATGGACAACATATATCAGGTGATGTGGAACACGTGTGGCTGTTGGGTTTTCACATTTGGGCGAACCTGCAATGATAACATTGAGGAAGTTGGGGATTTATCTCGAAACTAAGTGGCGATAGAGGAAGTAGCTCAACTCTTTATGGCCTTGTTTGATAATGAGGATTGGCTTGATCGGGATTATTAACAATATTGGAGGCATTTTGGAGGAAGAAATTGATGATCTCTAAAGTCCAACCCCCTTAGGGGAGTATCTTCATATCCAAGTCAATGTCTAACAAACGAAACCTATAAGTCTATGCTTTCCGTAATATTCCGATGTAGGACAACTCTCCACAACCTCATATGTGGTAAGCCAAAGACTTCGAAGATAAAAAGATTCAAAGAAACAAAAACAAATTTCTCACATAAAAAGGCAAAGACTTTGAACGGATGAAGAGCAATCATTCTGCATATTTTGTAGGGCACATTGACTTAATGCAATCCAAGCTAAAGAGTTGAGAAATAGAGAGGCAGAAATTAGTTACCTTCAAATCGGTAACAATCGGAGCTTTCAGTCCCGAAATGGCTTCTTTTGCATTGTATATAACGGTTTCTTTCCCGCTACTAACGTCCTTCATTTTGACAATTCTGCATTGAAATCAAATATCCAGAATTACAGCTAGACAGATACAGATTGTTACGTAAACTTTCAAGGTGTAACTTCAAAGTAGTCTGTGTTGGTTAATTTTATTTATTCATTGATTTTTGTATATATATGCAATCAAACCACTGTTTTCGATCTGTATGCAGATTACATAGCGGCACTTGGAAAGAAGAAGGAAGCCTTGAATTACCTATCCCACTGACCATGTATCTCATAAAGAAGCTCGAATGTTGTTGAGTCAAAGATCCTTCCCTTAATTGTTCTAGGATTTCCCCTAATCCATGAATTGCTTCCATAATATAACTCAGCTTCAAGGCCCGTCTCATGACACCGGATTCTGTTTTCACCAACCCAATCAACCCAAGGTAATGGGAGGAACTTTATCAAGAGTCTTGGTGAGTTCATTTCATAAGTTTCTCCATGATTCAAGAGCTTCAACTGACGTTTTCCATGCACCTCCGTTTCCACTGAAGTACCTGCATCATGGTTCTCGATAAGGATTAATATGACATTTAAACACAACAGAATATTTGAAAAAATGCTTAAAAGTCAATTAACATAAACAGCAGCAAAGTTCAGACGAGACTGAAATCTTCGTTATTATTGTATGAGTCCACAGTTCTTGACAAGATGAATACTATTAAACGGTTTTTGATAAAATGTGCATTCAACTCAAGAGAAGCTCATTTTCAAGGAGTATAAGAAGGGAAAAGGAAGATATAAGATCAGCAGCAGCAACTTAACTGTATTATATGTTACAAATAGTCGGTAATATGTATATTCTCACATGACACTTGAAACTTGAAACCCGATTAGGATTGCTTCTTTTAGATTAATGATCAGTATGATTTTTACGAAGAAGAGAGTACCATAGAATTTGGGAGTAGGATGTTGACACCAGATCATTTCAAGGTTTTCTTTTTCATCAGTTGCACGAAGAGCGGTAACTGGTGGATGATGTGATACCTGCAAGCATGCAACCAAAAAAAAGCAATAACGTTAGAGTCAATACATGCATATAGATCCGCAAACTCGCCACTCGCAAGGTAGTTAGTGACATTTAGTTCAACCTGGGGCATCATGGCAGCATCAATTGGAGCAAAGCTCGGCAGAATAATAAATACAAGTACCTGCTCAAGTAGAACATTGAGGTTCCCCCTTGTAACATGATGGGTTTCTCCAAGAATGGGGTTGTAAGGAACAATTCCGAAGATCATAGGACGCAAGGTAGAAATGCTCCATGATACAACAGCTGTGAACCTGTCATGAGGGGTCTCCGCTCTGTTGCACCTTCCTAACAAATCATTACCAACGCAGTACACTGATTCACCAAAACACTGGAGGTGTGACTTGGGAATGTTAAACAGCGGTGACAGCTGAAATTGCAAGGGAGGTAAAAAAAATATCAGTTACCAATAAAGGTCCTTCTTTTGTCCAAATTTACTGTAATTAGTTAAGAAAAAGAGAATTGGTGTACGTCAATCCAAATGTTGGTATTTTTAGCTGGTTTTTTAAGTTTATTTCTAACGTCCACGTTAAAGAAACACAAGTGGAAAGTATGACGTTTTCCACAAAAAGAAGAGGACTTGCCTGGAAGCGTGTGAGATCAGATCCTGGCCGTACGTTTTTAAACAGACTCAGAACACGTTTAAGTAGATTAGGAGCTCTGTAATCAACATCGGAGTCCCCTTCTAATGACAATGGCTTTGTCAAGAAAATAACTCTGGAATTCTCCTCCTCCTCCTTGACCTGCACACCCATCACACCAAATCAAGAAGCCGATTTCAAAGTTGAAAACGCGCAATTCCAACATTTTAAGGAAACTATTTTTGGATGCATACAATTGATTCCAAGCCAAACTACAAGCGGCTATTTGGAAAAGCACATAGTGGAGTACGCTATCTGGCCCATAAATTGACACATTTACATTGTCTCCAGTCACTAATTACTAACCATTTGAAAAATTAACTAAAAGATCTGGAAAGATTCGCCCACAAACAAGAAGAGTTTAATTCACGGTTCAGCGACCAATACAAATATGTTATTTTGGTTACTAAATCGGAGATTTAACGTCACGTATAATCAGTGGCGGAGCCTGTGTAGGGTCATTAGTTGTCCTTGACCCCAACAATTGTGAAAACACCATGTATATTTTTTTGTGTATTGTATTTGACCCTTATAAACAGCTAAGGCAAACTAAATTACAACCTCCTCCTCCTACTTCTTGTGTGCGACTCTATTGTGCGATCATGTGCTCGATGAAATACTTTGGTTTTTCTCTCTTCTTGTGTGCGATCATGTGCTCAATGAAATATTTTAGTTGAAAAGCCTAGGAAATCTTCAACATTACTCTACACTATCATGCATCAGCCGTAGACAAGCCTCTACGAATAATAGTAGTTGTCGACATATGTTAATATAAACTTTCGACATATGTTGACAGGTGCTTCGTAGGTGCTCGACAAATGGCCAATGAAGTTTTTTTTTTTTTTATTGATATTATGACTCATTATTTGAAAATTATGACGATGCCATTGCGCATAATTCAAAAGGAAAACTAAAAAGAAAAAAGGTTTTACAATGTCCCTACGCATACAACTACTACCTTAAAGTTTCTTAGCAAATAAGTTTTTTCATCTTCTTTTTAAAGAAAAGAAAAGAACGTTATTTTGTACTACAATTTTACCGGAACTTTTATAGAAAGCCGGCTGTACTTAAAAAAGCACGAAAAAAAAAATGCCCGAAATAGAAAACAAGAAATGAATTGAAACTTTCAATTGATGACAAAACAAATACGAAAGATGAAAACTGAATTATCGCTGAATCAAATAAAAAAAATATCACAAAACCGTAGTACTAGACGGTCATTTACAAGCCACACAAGCTATCTTAACGTAAAAGAAGTGGCATCATAAAACACTAAAAAAATACGAAGGAAAAAGATGCCACGAGATTCACAATTCAAAGCCATTTTCATTTCCTTGGCACACAAAACAATATATACATATATGTGTGTGTTATACTTAATAAACATATAAGGTAAAAGGCTCTGAGTCTGAGAGTCCAATAGAAAACGAGAGGGTATATTGATATAATATTATATGTGAACAGAACCTGCTGCTGGCATGCTGCAATTGCAAGCCAGCAAGTATTAAAATCAAAACAGCTTTTGTCGTTCTTAAAACCGCCGTTTCAACGGCCGGTAAACAGCTCATATTTTGACAAGTAGAGAACAATACAAACCCAGCAAAACCATTGCCGGGTTTGAGTTGATCTTTGATTTTTCCGAGTTGGGTACACAGAACAGATGAAATAATCCAAAACCAATCAAGCAATCATTCAAAAACACATAAAACCATTGAGAGAGAGAGAGAGAGAGAGAGAGAGAGAGAGAGAGAGAGAGAGAGAGGTTCACATACCATTTGAAACTTTGAAGAGATGGGGAACTGAGGCAGAGAGAGAGAGAGAGAGAGAGAGAGGTGTGTGTGCTTTTTGTTTCAATGAAATGTAATAGAGAAAGAGAGAAGTGGCGGAAACTAAGAATCGAAGAGCGGTTGTTTGGCTGGTTTTGTTTTTATGCTGGGAAAAAGGCGTTTTTATGCTGTAGGCGCCTTCCTTTCTACAACGCAAGGGAATTGGTGGTGTTGGGACCAATGGGGTAATAAATTTTAGAGGTATTTATTGATTTATTCCTTAACTTTCATGCAGTTGTCAAATTTCTCTTTGAATTTTAATTTTAGCCAATTACCCATTTGAACATTTTTAATTAGCGAATGTCTTCCTTAAACTTTAATTTTAGTCTATTACCCCCTGACATTAAATTTTAAAAACTATCATTTAATTTTTCATCCATCCAATTTTTCATCATTTTTACCCTCATACAGTTGTCATGTATTGCTTCTGTGATCAAGATGGATGAAAAATTGGATGAAAAGTTTTAAAACGCTAAGGAGGAAATTGACTATTTATAAATCAAGGAGTAATCAGCCCAAATTAAAGTTCAACAGAGAAATTGACTAATTAAAAAAGTTCAAGGGAGTAATCGGCTACAATTAAAGTTCATAGTAGAAATTGGCAGCTTCATACAAGTTTAGTGGGCAAATCGACAAATATGCCTAAATTTTATGTCCAACTCCATTTCATATCTATGAGTTTTAGTGTTATTTTTTAAATGGTAACGAGCACAAAGGGTGTAAACTGATAAAATTTCAAATTTTATTGTGCAATTTGAGGAAATTAGAACCTCATTGCTCATCCCGAAAATTACTTCAAGCCTGACGAGTGTCAAATTTTAATTAACTTTTTTAAGAGACGAATTACATTAAAAAATATTATCAATTTTCTATATAGCATTTCTTAATGCATTGTAATATATATTGCTTTTCTTACAAAGGTAACAAGAATTTATTAAAAAAAAATCAAGAACCACATAGGACATACATGATGAACGTAACTAAAAAGTCACCCATGGCAAAAGAAACACCACACAAATTAACAATTACAAACTCATCATGATACAGTACAATTCACCAACTACCATAGAGACACATATTTAACAAACAAGAAATATTACAACTTTGCAAGTCTTAGAACCACTGTAACATCATCATGAGGAAAAGACCATATCAGCCTCTAATGATCTTGCAATCGTCAACAAAGAAGCATTGATATGACTCACCTTCAACAAACATCGACCTTCGTCCTCATAGTCTGTCATGTGCACAAAATAAAAGAATACAAAACCAACCTTAACTCTCATCAATTGCCGTTGTTCAAAGATTTGGATTTGATCCTTAATCCATAGCTGCCACAAAGGTCCTTTGCGATAGAGTGAGAGAATGATCACAACCACAAGGACTCTTCTAGCCACAACCAAAAAGTGATCACAACCAGAAAAGAAACACTACCTCCAGGCCAATGGCCAAATTTGGCGGTTGAGGGATTTTTTTTCCTTCTATTTTCTATCTATATTGTAATCTGTTTGACTTCATGCAAGCATAACATGAGTCGACTAAGTGACACATCAAAAATATAAATTAACTTGAATGTCAGATTAAGGATGGTGTTATCTACACATTCTTTTTTATTTTCACACATACCTCTCAATTTTCAATCATCAGGTCAAATGAATTAAAGAAAATAAAACGACATAAATTAACAAAAAGTGTGTAAAAGGTAGAAGGTGTGTGTGGATAACACCACCCTTGAATTAATAGAGAGACCAATATTAGAGGAATATAATAAGGTGTCATTTCTACGACATGGACCAAAATGTTACTAACACTAAACTAGAAAGCTGTATAGTGTAATTGACTCATTTTCTATTTACTCTTAGTTTATGTTAAGAGTGTGCTATTTACAAACCCCTTTTACCTCCCATACACCCTTATCAATTTTTTTCTATTGATCTTCTTCAATTTATTTGATTCGACGGACGGAAATTGAGAGGAATGTGTGAAAAGTCAAAAAAAGTGTGCGGATAGCACAATCCTATTTTAATTGGGAAAACTATGCAAAGTATTTGGGAATGAAAAGTTTAGGGGAGGGGATGCTACCCAACTCCAGGGGTTAAGGAGTACCACAAGCCGCTTTGAGGACTTACAAAGGAGGTCTTAGCCTATTTTTTTTATTTTTACAAATCACGTACCAAGAGAGTTTGTTGACAACAAAAGTTAAACTAGGCCTTAATTAAGCGAAAAGAACAATCCTTACGTTAGAGAAGTAAACAAAACAAGATCAAATTGTTTTTCTCAATATCAGGATGTTATGAAATTCACATTATCATTCTTCTTAGAACTTGTGTGGGCCTGCTTCTAGAAGTTATAAGCGTTTTTTATTATGTTTGGCCAAAAAAATTAAAATAAATAAAAGCACTTCATGAAAAGTATTTCTCGAAATATTTCTTAAAAAGATAAGAATTAATATGATTATCTTAGCAAAATGGAAATAAAAGATTCTGTTTTTGTATGAACCAGATAGTACTTTCCATGAAAGTGCTTTCCTGAAATGAGTGTTTTGTTACTATGACAAACGTTCACGTCCCTTCCTTTTTAGAGTCACACATTTTAGATTTTGTACACAAATTAAGGGGCAATTATGATGAAACTGAAATCACAGCTTGGTTATGAGCAATCCATCTCAAGCATAACCAACCCACATGTCTTCCTTCCACACTAATGAGTTTGAGAATTAGCGCCATCCTCTCGGCTGTCCAGTTGATAATCCTACATATAAGCTAGTAACATTTAAGGTAAGGTCTCTCTGAATCCAACTCTCTATTACCATGTGTTGACCGTAAAAAATTTGCGCAGATCGAAGAGCTAATGAGCTAACAACATTCTTCGATTGAACGCAAAGCGTGCCAACTCGTCGACCGACCAAAGATCAACTTTCCAGCATCGAAGGACACTTTGGTTGTTGTTGTTGTGAATTCAAATGTGGCAGATAGAAAGATAGATAAGGGCATATATCTACAATAATATTTATTTGATCAGTACTTTAATACAGAGTCCTGTAATTCATTTTATCTTTGAGATTCGCTTCAAGAATGAATTTAAAAAAATTAGTACATTTTTGTAGAGTTCAAGAGATGTGCATATGTCATATCAATTAATGAATTGATCTCGTTTTATGTTGATTATGTGCATCATTTGCCACATCATGTGATATACAAATATAGTACAAAAATATGGTCTCTCTAGTATTACTCTTTAAATAAATGTATTCCCTTTTCCTTTTGGAGTTTGAAGATGAAATTTTGGTTAAAAAAATTTAAATGAAATTTATATATGAAGAAAAGTGCTTTTGTTGACATGTCTTGAGCATTGAATTAGTTTGGCAATGAAATGAATGACTGGAAAAGAAAGGAGGGCATGAAAGGGAAGAGAATTCAAATTCCTTATGCTTTTCTACTCTCTCCATTAATCTTTAGAAAACAAAATAAAACAAAGAGGTATTTGTTGGTTTGCCCCCTCCGAATTTGTTTAGAGCTGCTAGTTTCATTCCTGAACTTTAATTTTAGCTAATTACCCTTCTGAACTTTTATAATTAGCCAATTCCCCCCTCCCTAAACTTTAAATTTGGCTAATTACCCCTACCCCCTCCCCCCCAAAATTTTATAAATAGCCAATTTTTCCCCTAGCATTAGACTTTTTAAAAATTTTCATTCTTTTTGTGCCCATACATTTGTCATATGTGGTCCACATGATCAAAATGAATAGAAAATTACATGAAAAATTTTTGCTTGGAAAAACCCAGTGGGAAAAAACCATAGCAAAGGAAAAAAAGTACAACTTTACCTGGATTTGATATAGTGTTAAGCATGCTTATGTTGCCTCATTAAAACTTTGATAGGAAAAACCCAGTGGAAAAACCATAGTCGAAGGAAAAAAAGTACAACAGGCATGTATCATGGATGCTCCCCTTGATATGTATCTCCCCCTAATTCTACATTCTTCAAATTTAACTGATTGGGAAGCCAACATAATCCAATACCCTGCTCTATCTTCTGAAACGTGCACTTTGGTGGAGCTTTGGTGAACAGGTCTGCCAAATTTTCATTGGAACAAATTTGTCTGACTTCAACAACTTTAGCCTTCTGAAGCTCATGTGCACTGAAAAACTTTGGAGACGTGTTTAACCAAGCGAGGTTTAGACTACCGGTCCAAAAACACTTCACCTTTCCAAGGAATTTAATTCTGCCTGAATTGCATCTTTCCACTTAGGCCAATCTTATCGTTGTTTGCATTCATCAACAACGGGCTCAATATCATCGCTTAATATGATTTCAATGGCTACTACGAATACGAATATGTCGTTGATGATTATTTCATTTTGATCTAACAATTCGTTAGTACATGCATAATTTATGGAGATTTCTTTGCTTCCATGTACTTCTGTCTCTTCAGGGACATGTGTTTCATCAAGGACATTTTCCTTTTCTGAAAGTACAGAATCATGAATTGTGGATTTGTCATTCATTGTCTTTTCCTGAATGATTTCATTTGTATTCAATTGTGCCCTCATCTTTCTCTTTCAAGGGGCTAAATATTTTGAACCTGAGGGTCTACCACGCTTCAGGCGTGCACTAGATGAATCATTTGCTGCCACTTTATTTTGTCCAATAGGAACATTAATTCTTACAGACGAATTTGCAGCTAGTATATGTGATTTTGTCACTTTCCTAGCATCATTAAATGCATCTAGCATTTGATTAGCAATACTTTGAAGGTGAACGCTCCTTTTCACTTCATTTTCAGATTGAGTGTTTCCTGGATCAAAATGAGATAAGGTGGGTACAATCCATGTTAACTCTTACCGTTCTTCTGGAATGATATTTTCTCCTTCTAACAGCGGGAAGACTATCTCATCAAAGTGACAATCTGCAAAACGAGCGGTAAACATATCACATGTCAAAGGTTCCAAATATCTAATGCTAGATGGTGAATCAAAACCACATAAATTCCAGTATGCGCCAAGGTCTCATTTTAGTGCGTTGTGGCAGTGC